TGGAAACATTACTATATAAGAAGAAAATGCTAAAAAAAATTCATCTGTCTTGTCCAAGCAGAATCGGACACATAGAAATAATATTTATCATCACAAAAGATACAATTTCAATCAATTTATGTATATTCTTTGGTAGCATGAACTGAAATATCACAACAGAAAAGTTACTTTAGTCAGCTAACCAATGTACAGTATGTTTCCAGTACCACTTTACAAAGCCTCAGTAAGGCCACACTTGGAATACTATATCCAGTTCTAGTCACCACACTATAAAAAAGATGTTGAGACTCTGGACAGATTGCAGAGAACAGCAACAAGAATGATTAGGGGACTGGAGGGTAAAACATACGAGGGATGGTTACAGGAATTATATCTAGTCTAATGAAAAGAAGGCTTAGGAGTGCCCAATCTTGGTCACTTAAAAACCTGTGGACTTCAACTCCCAGAATCTCCCAGTCAGCCATGCTGGCTGCAGAATTCTGGGGGTTGAAGTCCACAAGTCTTAAATTTACTAAGATAGGAGACCCCTGGCTTAGAGGATGATAGCAGTGTTCCAATATTTGAGAGGCTCAAACTATTTTCCAAACCAGCAGAAGGCAAGAAAAGAACTAATGGACGGAAACTAACCAAGGAGAGGCGCAACTTAGAACTAGGAAGAAAATTCCTAATGGTTAGACTCTAACCGTTAGAGCAATCAACCTAATGGAATAACGTGCCTTCAGAAATTATGGGTACTCCATCACTGGAGGCTTTCAAAAAGAGCCTATTTGCCTGCAATTGTATATGGTCTCCTGCTTAAAGCAGGGGATTGACTGAGAAAATCTTCAAGGTCTCTCCCAACTCTAATATTCTGTGTTCTATGTTCAGTATGGTATCCAACTGTGTTGGATACGAAAAACCAAATTAACCAAAGAAACCAAATTAGCAAAAGACTTCCCAAATTTATGATGTCAAGTATATACTTTACTGACAATTTTGGACAGTATTGTATTGTACTTCATCAATATCGTGAAACATCAGGGTATAATGTAGCTCCAAAAGATCTTGGGTGGATGTTCAAACCTATTATTGGTAGAGAAGACATACAATATCCTGTCCTAATACCCTGGAAGAGCTGTAACATTTTACCTTGCAGGATGAGTTCCAATTGTATACTGAATAAATAATATTTGACTATAATTTTCCTGTATAGGTCATAAACAATTTTGTGGGAATCAGTGGTACATACAATTCTCCCTACAACAAAAAGCTTGCTTTGTGCTACTACACACTTATGTAAGTTGCACAGAACTTCAAAAGGTCTATTTTTGGGTCAATATGGATAGGGTTGCATTGCTGAACAGTGTTAATTCCATTCGTTCCTTAGAAGTGATTTTCTTTGGTTCAATGGGGAAGATTCTGAAGAAACTGGCAGATGAGATCTCAGAACCACTGAACTATAGCTTCCAGAGATCCTGGAGCACCGGGGAACTNTGCCATCACGGGTGACCAATAGCACTCTGAGTGGGTCATCAGCCACGCGTCCCCAACAAAAGCTGCCCACAAAATCTACCTGACTGTTCGCATAGAGGGAGAGCCCTGCAAGATGGAAGTGGACATTGGCTCTTCCAAATCCCTTGTCTCGTGGGCTACTATCAAGCGAATAGTGCCCAGCCTTACTAAGGCTAAACTCAGGCAGTGCCCAATTCGCCTCAGAGACTATCAAGGGCAGCCAATTCCCATTGTGGGTTGCGACACATTCAATATCGCCAGCCGTAATTTCCAGGGGCCACTTCCCCTCATCATCATGGATGGCCATTTGCCCAGCCTTCTGGGGCTGGACCGGTTCTCCGCATTGGGGCTCAGCATATCTGGCGTCCCCGCCGTTGTTCCAGACTCCTTCGCCATGCTGGCCAGCAAGTTCGTGGACGTATTTGACAACAAACTTGGTAAATATATGGGGACACCCAATTCCTTTAATTTGGACCCCCAGGTGGCACCAATACGCCTTAAGCCTAGGAGAGTGCCTTTTGCCCTTCGGCCCAAAGTCGACCTAGAGCTGGATAAGTTGATTGGGCAGGGGGTGCTAGAAACAATGGACCACTCTCCCTGGGAAATCCCCATTGTAATACCAATCAAGCAAGATGGGAGCATTAGGATTTGCGAGGATTTTAAATGCACCATGAATAAGGGGTTGCAAGCCAACCCTTATCCTGTGCCAGTGGTACAACACCTGTTCCACCTACCAACAGCTCCCGGTGGACGAAGCCACAGCCATGGCTCAGACCATCGTAATGCACCAGGGAGCTTTTAAGTGCAAACGTTTGCAGTTTGGGATCAACGTAGCCCTGGGCATTTTTCAAAGCCTAATGGAGCGGATACTCCAGGGGCTGCCAGGGGTGGTACCCTATTTCGATGATGTGCATGTATCTGCTTTGTATCAAGCCAAACTCGTCGACAAATTAAGGGCAGTCCTGACCCATTTTCACCAAGCAGGGCTAAAACTCAAATGGGAGAAATGCAGGATAGGTGTCCCCAGTGTGGAATTTTTGGGGTATCTCGTGGATGCCAAAGGCTTCCACCCTACTCCATCCAAGATAGAAGTGATCAAGAAAGCCCTCACGCCCTCGTCTAAGGCTGAACTGCAAGCCTTTCTCAGGCTGCTTAATTTTTACACATTTTTTTTGCCCCATAAGGCGTCTTTGGCCGAGCCTCTGAATAGGCTCCTGGACTCAAAGACGCCCTGGCATTGGGGTCCTAAGGAAGCCCATGCTTTTCAGGCAGTTAAACATGTCCTCACATCCAGGTCATTGCTGGTTCAATACAGCGATCGCCTCCCCTTGGTTTTGGCGTGCGATGCATTGCCTTATGGCATTGGGGCTGTTCTGAGCTACGTCCTGCCTAATGGCTCTGAAGCCCCAATTGCCTATTATTCCCGCACACTCTCAGCAGCTGAGAGAAACTACAGTCAGCAAGATAAGGAGGCCCTAGCTGCTGTGGCAGGGGTAAAGGGTTTTGACGACTACATTTATGGTCATTTTTTTCAGCTAGTTACCGACCACAAGCCCCTCTTGGGTCTTCTGGCGACCACCAGACCCCTCAAATTTTGTCCCCTAGGATGTCCAGATGGACCATTTTTCTGGCGGCATATAATTACCAGCTGCTGTATAGGCCAGGAAAGAACTTGGGGCATGCGGATGCCCTCAGTTGCTGCCCTCTGCCAGCGCCTGTTTTGGACCCTGCCCTTGCAGCCTCGGTTCTCCTGATTGAGGAGTTAGCCATGCCAGTATCCACCTGAGATATTGCCAGGCTATCTGCAATGGACCCTGTCCTGTCCAAAGTGCTGGACTGGGTGCACAGGGGGTGGCCGCAAGGGCCAGTAGGTCTGGAGTTTCAACCTTTTTACATACGGCAGCATGAGCTGTCTGTTCTCAATAGGTTCCTGATGTGGGGCAACCGGGTAGTACCTCCCCACAAGCTTAGGGCGCCAATTTTAAATTGTCTGCACACTGCTCACCCGGGCATCATGCGCATGAAGGCGTTGGGCTGGAGCTACATGTGGTGGCCCAAAATTGACCAAGAAATAGAACACTGGGTAGCCGCCTGTCAACAGTGCCAGCAGTCTAGACCGGCTCCTCCATCAGTGCCCATCAGAGAGTGGGACATGCCCCGGGCTCCATGGGCACGTCCATTTCGACTTCGCTGGCCTGTTCTTAGGGCAGAACTTCTTAGTCATAGTCAATGCCTACACGAAGTTGGTGGAACTGGCACTCATGCCTTCCATCACTTTGGAGGACATCATTAGAGTATTATGGAAACTTTTTGAAATCCATGGGCTGCCTGATGTGGTGGTGATGGACAACGGGCCCCAGTTCACATCAGCACCTTTCCAAATGTTTTTAGGACAGCATGGCATACGACACGAACCCACAGCTCTGTTCCACCCGACCGGAAACGGCCTAGCAGAACAAACCGTCCAGTCGGCTAAGGAGGCATTGGCCACCTGGGGCCAGAAAATTGGCACAACAAACTGTCCCAATATCTCCTGGCGCAGCATACAACCCCGTGCCTGGTTACCAACCAAAGTCCTGCAGAACGACTTATGGGCCGGCAGCTCTGGACAGCTCTGGACCGGCTGCACCCTGGCTATGCAGCAGAAAAAAGCCCCATTGCAGGCAACACAACACGAGCCTTTAATGTGGGAGACCTTGTCTACGCCCAAAACTATGGGGCTAAACCAAGGTGGCTTCCTGGACAAATTATGCAACTAACTGGACCCTACTCTTATAGGGTCCAGTTTGACAATGGGCAAGAGTGGCACCGGCACATCAACCAGCTCCGTCAGCGAGCCACCAGTACAGCAGACCAACACCCAGGACAGGCCCAATCCTGCCCTGGGGAACGAACACAATCCGAAGCCGCTCCAGCAGCCTTCCCTGATGCATTCTTGTTGCCTGCCCTACCTGGTAGTCCGATCAGTCCCATGGCGGTCATATTTCCCACTGACTCGGCCACACAATCTCCTGAGGTTCCACAGCACTCTCCAGCAGCGGCTCCTCCTTTGGCGGCCGCCCCTGAACCAAGACGATCTGGGCGGAGCCGATGCTGGCCAGCATACTTGGCCAACTATGCATATGCCAACTGGGAGGAGAGGGGTGTTAAGTCCTGGAGGCTACAACACCATTGACTTGCATTGCTAGTTCCTGATTGGCTAAGACGCGAGCAGCCAGCTGGCGGGATAATCCAGCTACCCTATTGGTTAAGCGTCTGACAGTTCTAGTATAAAAGGGCTGTCAGTTGTCCTATGCTTTGCTGTTTGCTGGTTCGGGGTTTGCCTTACATTGAGCTGTATGTTACTGTAAATAAAGGTTTTGTTAGCTTCAACCTGCCTTGCCTCAGTTCCTGTCTGCCTCGTTCTCCCTACAGAACACTGTCCTTTTCACCT